TAAAACCTCCTTATATAAAAAGGAGAGAATTTGTGAGTTCTATCAGCAAAAATAATGATGAATATAATCAACCAATCAAATTGCCATATCATTACTCTCTCGATCAAAAATATATACACAATTTTCGATTTCAAATTATAAAGGAGATATATAAGTCTTCCATTTTTAATTAAACCCCCATTTTGATTGAACCCAGCCCACAAGTTTTATTTTTGCTTCCTCTTCTCTGCGAACAACCTCTCCGACGCCGAACGAAAACTCCTCCACAGCCCTAATTGAAGACCACTCCAATTCTCAACAACCGTTATAGTGAATCGAAAGAGACAACACGATTCACCTCCTCCAAAATTATATCACTAACTGTTCAGATCCTTCAATTCGGTCTCATTTCCATCTCTCTTAATGCCTAAAGACACGATCCTCCATCGGCTTGGAGAACTTCTTGATATCCCACCTGACAAACATATATTCGACATTCCAGCTCACAAATATATTATATGATGTAGTGTTTCAACTTTCAAATGGTTATATATGCACTTAATTATTGAAATGAATGTATATGTGATTTGCTACGCTATAGTCTTGAACACGCTGATAAGAATCTCCATTTTCTACCCAAAAGGAACTTCACCATATCTAAGGTTTTACCTCCATCTTTTTAAAAAGAATTCATACCTCTTTGATGTCAAAACATGGTCGGTTTGATGGCTGGTTTAGATGTTGATTCATGTGTTTTGGGTTGGACACAGTTATGCTGATATTTCATAGTGGACCTGTTCAATACTGCATTTGGAAAAATATTTTTATTAAGAATCATATGCAGTTTTGATCAAATATTTTACATAGTGTTTCCATAGTTGGGACTCTAGACGAATTTGGTTTCCATTATTGTAGAAAACTGAATCAATTTAAACATGGTTGTATTTTTCGGTTTATTTTGCAACAGTTTAGTTTATTCAGATTAACGATCATATATCATAGTGAACCAGTTTAGATGTGGGGGATTAGTTATGTATTTAATTAATACGTGGAATGGTATACTTTCCAGGTGGTAGGAGGCGTTTAAGGAGGAGAAGGCTGATGGTAAAATTCATGATATTTTTGGCTCTACCTGGCCAAGGCCAGAACGTAGTATATGAGGCTCAGCACAAGCCGCCTATGTTCCGACCATGTTCACGGTTATTACACAACCTCACACGTGAGGACCAGTCCAAGCGTAATGCGCGCAGGTTTAGTAGGTTTCCCAAGAGTAAGTGCCTTAGTGAAGTCCCAAACCATGGCGATTTGCCTAATCTATAGATTTGACTTCTGAGATTTGTTTTTGAAAGTCTAGACATCAGATCTTATGTCAAGAGGAGCAGAAGAAGAGACAGTGGCATGGAGATACTTTTACAGAGATGTTGTGCCATTTGCTGCAATGGTCACAATTAAGTGTGTCATGGTTGGCTCTAACACTCTCTTTAAAGCTGCGACTTTGAGAGGATTGAGTTTCTATGTCTCTGTCTTCTACACTTGCGCCGTTGCTACACTTACTCTTCTCCCACTTTCCCTCATTTTCGGAAGGTACTACTTGATCTCTTCACCAATTCTTTATTGCCAGTGTAAAATTTCAAGAAGATGAACATAATTTACATATGCAGGTCAAGAACGTTACCTTCAGCTAATTCTCCTGTCTTCTTCAAGATCGTCTTACTTGCGCTTATCGGGTAATATTACACTCCTAGAGCTATGGGCATTTCCGGTTTTTCTTTTTTTCGATTTTTCAACTTTGAGGGAACAGGTTCGTGTCGTTGATTGCTGGCTGTAAACGAATAGAATATAGTTCTCCTACGCTTGCCTCTGCTATGAGCAATACACCAGCTTTTACCTTCACGCTCGCCGTTATCTTCAGGTTCCACTTCATTCTCTTATGATTCTGTTTCAGGATAGTGATCTAACTTGACAATGGGGTGAATTCACACTTCTTAAAATAATGAAGTACAGTTCATGTTAGCTTTTAGTCATTTATTGGTTCATATATATTGTAATTAGGAGGATCTGCACTTTCATCCGAGTTGCTCTCGTTATTCTCAATTGAATACAAAAAGAGACGAACATACAATTGAACTGTTTTGTTGCTTATAGTACCTGCAGATTATATATAGAAGGTGCTGAGAATATGGAATTTGAATCCGCCATTGAACATATCACATGAAACCCGGTTAGTTTGACTTCTTCCATTTTTACTGTATATACTCAGTGTCAAAGGTTTTGTTATTATGAAGCGTGGTGTTGTTCTTGCAGAATCATGAAAATCCTAACAAACCATAAACAAGAGAATAATCTAAGCAATTTCACAACTCAGCTTGGTCATCATCATGTTGGAAGGTAATTCCATGTTTTCAAGTAGTTCGATGCAAAAAGGACATGGTCCCTGTTACTTGTACATATCTTGCTTCACATTTCCTAAAATGATACAATCATTTTTTTCCCAAATCAAGATCCTAATCCTTATCCTAACAAATAAACTGCGGAAGTTTGGTGCAGAAGTTGTCAAGCAAGTAAATGAAACCAAATAATACATTAAAGATTATGTTGAAGAAAGTTTCAAATAATAGATAAAAAAGAATTGGTTGACCATACCCAGAGCTAGAGGATGGGAAAAACAATACACGAAAACATACAACAGAAGGAGTGTGTAATAGACGTCAAACAATATGCAACAAAATTAGAAGTTATTGAAAAATGCTAAGTTATGATTTATTGTTAGTTGATTATCCTAAATACGTATTTGTCTTCTATCTCAAGAAATGGATAGATGATTATTGATTTATGATCACTAGAATAAGTCATTACTCAATTAGGGACA